CTCAAATTACCTTATCGTGCACGTCGAATCATTCCGAATTAGACTTAGGCATAAAATGAAGCTGTTGGACCCGAGAAAAACACCTTTGGGCCGCAGAAAAACTCCTCTGGGCCACTGGAGGGGACTGAGCGCATCCTGGGCTGCGCTACACCAAATCTGGGCCGTGTAGACACGTAGTTGGGCCGTAGAGACGCTAATGGGCCGTGCTGTTGAGGCTGGGTCGCACGCGGGCTCACGCGGGCCTGGCGCGGGTTGACTTCGGGCTGTCGCGGGCCAGGTGATGTGAGGGAAGCGGGCCACGCCGGCTGGACGCGGCCCGCGTACTGATCTGCCTCACATAGGCTTCGCGGATGTTGGGCTTTCCGCACTGGGCCTCCTTGTTGTGGATCGTACACTGGGCTTGCACAGTGGAACGGGCTCGGGCTGCTGCGGGCAGCTACCTGGACTTCATACGCGCCGGGCCAACTGGGCAGACAATGGGTTGCGGAACTCCTTACCTGCTGAGCGAGCAGAAAGCGTGACGGCCGCTCGCTGGAAATCTGTGGCCGGAGAATAATTACTGCCTCCGGCGAAAGTGGCTGTCCGTGAGTTCGCCTCGGAGAGGAGATTCTGATGGTGTCATCGGTTCAATGTGGTTCGCCGTAAATCAACCGGAAAATGTAGAATATGACCGGATTTGACCATGATCCAAAAACTTTGACCACAAAATTGATGGTCCTCCCGAAGAAATTTTTGCTCGAATGTTTAAGGGTAGAACGAGCACGAGGAGATCTCCGCGATGGCGTAAAAATTTTTTAGATCAAACAACCTCAGTCGGAGTCTGGCGGCGGAGGCGGCGGCGTCCGGTGGCGTAGGCGGCTGCGTCTGGCGGAGGTTGAGCTCTGCATATTCGCCTCGTCGAGAGGATTCCGGTGGTACCCTCGGATTTTCCATAGCCCTCACGGATAGTCGGCAAAATGCATTTGAATGTTCGATTTTGACCAATTTTTTGCTAGATCTAGAAACTTTGACTGCAAAATTGACGGCCTTCCTGGAAGAATTTTCGCATGAAATTTTAAGGGGAGATGCACCTCGAGGAGATCTACCCGATGACACCAACAATTTTACGATCAGAGCACGTTTTCCGGCAGCCGATGTGGAGGTGGCGGCCGACGATGGCGGCGGTGGTGGCGGCGGCCGGTGAAGAAGAAGAAGGAGCATGCTAGAAAGTTTTTCCAATTTTTCGGTCGGAACTCCGTTTGGCTTTTTTTAACGGGTCCCACAGACGGCGCCAATGAAGTGAATAAGATTTCACTCGGGCTCCTTCGACTCGAACGGCCACCGGACCTGCAAGAACCCAACGCCGGGAGGGGTCCCGGCGTCGGGCCTCCGACGCTCAAGTCAGTATCACTCCAAATCCCAAGAGTATAATTATGAACGTAGAGAGAATGTGAGAATGGGATACCTTAGCCCACTTTTATAGGGGGAATATACCTTATGGCCTAAGTTGGGCTTGCCAAACAGCCTCATGCCACGTGTCCTAGCCATGTGTAGGCTATATTCTCTTTTTATCCATTAAAACCGGTCCAGTATAATATCCTATATCATCTAGTCCCCCCAATGGTGGGTCACTCGGTTTTCGACCTCGGTGGTCGATCAGCTTTCGGTATTCGACCCCCAATGGTGGGTCACTCGATTTTCGACCTCGGTGGTCGATCAGCTTTCGGTATTCGACCCCCAGTTGCGGGTCACTCGGTTTTCGACCTCGGTGGTCGATCAGCTTTCGGTATTCGACCCCAGTGGTGGGTCACTCGGTTTTCGACCTCAGTGGTCGATCAGCTTTCGGTATTCAACCCCAGTGGCGGGTCACTCGGTTTTCGACCTTGGTGGTCGATCAGCTTTCGGTATTCGACCCCCAGTGGCGGGTCACTCGGTTTTCGACCTCGGTGGTCGATCAACTTTCAGTATTTGACCCCAGTGGTGGGTCACTCAGTTTTCGACCTCAGTGGTCGGTCAGCTTTCGGTATTCGACCCCAGTGGTGGGTCACTCGATTTTCGACCTCAGTGGTCGATCAGCTTTCGGTATTCGACCCCAGTGGTTGATCACTCGGTTTTCGACCTCGGTGGTCGTTCAGCTCTCGGTGTTCGACCCCTGCGGCGGGTCTTTCAGTTTTGACCTCAGAGGCAGGTCTTTCGGTATTCGAGCCAAGTGGCGGGTCTTTCAGTTTTTTATCTTAGTGGACATTCGGTGTTCATTTGGGGTCCCGATGCTCATTTGGAGGTTTGGTGACTATTTGGTGGTCGAGAATTTATTCAAATTATAAGCTGAATGGCAGGTTAACAGAAACAGCTCGAAGAGGAATTTCACTCTTAGATTGAGTCATTCTGACTCGACCAGAGTGGGGGGGACTAGATGATATAGGATATTATAGTGGATCAGTTTTAATGGATAAAAAGGGAATATATTGAAGAATAAGCCTACACATGGCTAGGACACGTGGCATGAGGCTATTGGGCAAGCCCAACTTGGGCCATAAGGTACACTCCCCCTATAAAAGGGGGCTAAGGTATCCCATTCTCACATTCTCTCTACATTCATAATTATACTCTTGGGATTTGGAGTGATACTGACTTGAGCGTCGGATGCCCGACGCTGGGACCCCTCCCGGCGTTGGGTTCTTGCAGGTCCGGTGGCCGTTTGAGTCGAAGGAGCCCGAGTGAAATCTTATTCACTTCATGCACGATTAATGATTTTCCAGCATACGGAAACTTGTCCGGCTACAGTGTGAAGGGGCATAAAGTTTGCCCTATATGTGGAGAAGGCACGGGCTACCATCAGCTCGAACACGGAAGAAAAACGGTCTACCTTGGCAGTCGTTGATATCTAAAACCGAACCACCCTTATCCTAGATTAAAAAAAGCTTTCAATGGTGAGCAGGAGCATGCAGAAGCTCCAAAGGCCTTAACTACCAAAAATGCTTTTGATCGAGTAAAAAATATCTCGATGAGGTTTGGTAAGACCCAAAAACAAGCCGACAAAAGCTTATGGAAAAAGCAATTAATATTTTTTTATCTTCCATACTAGAACGAGCTTGACGTCCGTCATTGAATTGATGTGATGTATTTTGAGAAAAATGTGTGTGATAGTCTTATCAACACGCTTCTCGATATAAAAGGGAAGACAAAAGATACAGTGGATGCACGAAAAGATATGGTTTCTATGGGCATACGAGGGGAGCTCGCTCCAGTGCCTCGAGGTAGAGGACTTATTTGCCACGAGCTTGTCACACACTATCAAAAAATGAGAAACGAAGCTTTTGTGAGTGCTTACGTGGAATTAAAGTGCCACCTGGGTATTCTTCCGATGTTAAACGTCTGGTATCAATCAAGGAGTTGAAGTTGGTAGGCTTGAAGTCCCATGATCATCATGTATTGGTCCAACAAATTTTACCGGTTGCCATTCGAGGTATATTACCGAAGAAAATGAGATGCACCATAAGTAGATTGTGTTTCTTCTTCACATCCATTTGTAGTAAGGTTATTCACCCTCAAGTGTTGGATGATTTAGAGAATGATGCTGCAGTTATATTATCTCAGCTCGAGATGTACTTTCCGCCTGCGTTTTTCGACATCATGGTACATCTCGTCATTCATTTGGTGAGAGAGATACGCTTGTGTGGTCCTGTGCATTTACGATGGATGTATCCATTTGAGCGGCACATGAAAATTTTGAAGGGTTATGTAAAGAACCCTCATCGGCCTGAGGCTTCTATTGTTGAAAAATATGTTGCAGGAGTACTTATCGCAGGCCAAATTTGTTGGTCTTTCGAAATCTCGCCATGAGGGAAGAGGTTCCAGACAAGGGACACTTGGAGGACGAATGAAAAGTGTTGATCGTGAAGTGTTGATGAAAGCACATCTATGTGTACTAACTAACTCTCCTGAAGTTCATCCCTATTTAGACCAGCACAAGAGACTCATAAAGGAACATAATCCTCAAAAACCAGAACGATGGTTAGTGAACGAGCATAACAAGACATTCATACCATGGTTAAAAAATGAGGTTGAAAATGATAATCTCGATTCGGAAACCGTTTCATGGTTGGCTCTTGGTCCTAATTCTGTTGTCATTACTTGGCGTGGATATGACATAAATGGGTACTCCTTCTACACGAAAGAACGAGATGATAAGAGTACTATGCAGAATAGTGGTGTTTCACTTGTAGCCGACTCGATTCATTTCTCAAGTGCAAAAGATAAAAATTCATTATATGGTTCAAGCTCTTATAATGGATTATTGAAGAGATAAGGGAGCTTGAGTACATTAAGTTTACCGTGCCAGCTTTTAAATGTAAATGGGTAGATAGTAATAATGGGGTGAAGGTAGATGAATTGGGATTTACATTGGTTGATTTTAGCAAAGAAGGATACAAGAATGAACCATTTGTCATGGCGTGTCAAGCAAATCAAGTGTTTTTTGTCATAGACCCGTGTGACAAAAACTGGTCAGTTGTTCTTCAGGGGAAAAAACGAGTATCGAATGACTCTGTTGATGATTTGACTTTAGATATTTCTGAATTTCCTTCCACATCATCAAGGATGCCTGTTGTAAATGAAGAACTTGAACTTGATGATGTGTATGCTGCCAGAAATTCAATCCCACTCTTGAAATTACAATTTCAAAAATGAAATGCTTAAAATGTTTATTTTAATGTCAAATTGCATACATGTTTTTAATTTATATTATTTGTAGTAAAATAATTAACAATTGTATTAATTACGTTGTACACGTTTAACTGAGTAGAGCTATTGTACTATGCATTCAGATTAGGTTACATTTTTTAATTGTTTTTCATATAGAAATAATGCTCTAAGTTATATCAATTCAATTTCTTTCCCAAATATATAGTATGTTGCTTCTTGGCGTTGCTGTTTATTTTGTGTTGAAATTAATTAATATGTCAATTAATATTATGGGTTTAATCAGTTTTTATCTCTAATAAATATCAAATTGTTTACAGGTGGAGGAGTTTTAATTCCACAGAGAAGAGAGAAGTAAATATAAGGAGAAAGGTAAGCCAATTAATCTATTTTCCAGGCTGCGCATATATAAGTTTAAAGTGCAGCGATTGTACAGGGTTTTGCTGAGTTTTTTATCAGGTTCTAACCTCTTATATGGAGCCTAAAAACCTGGTATTTTAATGTTTCAAAAGGGCCTTTAGTCGTATTTAAAAAATCAGGTTTTAATTTATCTCGTCGAGCTCCTTTTTATGGTAAAAAATCGAGTTGTTCATTTGCTGCGTTTTTCTGAGTTTTTCTGAGGTTAGGACCCTCGATATTAGGTGCTTTATACATTGTATAAAGAGGTTTAAGTGCCATGAGATGTGCTTAAAATTTTGGGTTCATTTGCCTTTGAAATAATTTATCTTTAATAAATATCAAATTGTTTACAGAGGTCAGAGACTCGTGATCTAAATTTTAGTCATACTTGGTGTACTAAATTACATAACTTATGTTACATTTTTCAGGTAGAAATAATTCTCCAAGAAGCTGCTGTTGTTGGTTCAGAGTTCAGCTGCTGTTGCTCAGTTTGTTAGCAAGAAGCTTCTATTTGCTGAGGTTTGTTATAGCTTTCTTCATATACATTTTATTGTTTTTCCTCAATTGATTCATTATGATTAGATGTCCAAATAATTTTGAATTGATAATAAAACAAAAGATGGACATTGCAGGTCAATAATTAAACTCTGAACCATGGCAGATCATTAATTAAACAACTAACCACGACATACCAAACTCATTTATCGCTATATATTCCCTTTTTGATACACTATACTTTTTTACCAGCAGGATGGACAATTTAAATGGTGATGGTTCTGAGCCCAACTCTACGACAGATTCGAGACATTCTGATAATGATGCTCGTAAAAAGATAGGTCGCAAAGGAACACGCCTTAAGCACCTTAGCCTACAAAATGGGAAAAAGGTGGCAGTGACTTTTCTGTCACTTAGAGCCAGATGGGCCAGATTAAGCGAGTATCAATGAGTTCAAAAAATATCTCGGCATTTTAGGTCGGGCCAAAGTTAGCATTTTAGCTAGTTGTTGGAACAAGGGAGTGTCTGACAAGAATAAAGAGCAACTTTGGCAAGCTGTACTGGTATGAAATTAACTTTCACGTATTTTGACAAATATCTTGGTATGATTCGTCTAACATTTGTAATTTAAATTGTATATCTACTGGGTAGCGAAATTTTTTTAGTGACCAATAATAACCTTAATTGATTAAATATTGATTCAATTCTTATTTAGTTTGAATTAAATTATCAAAACAGTCATTCCATGAATTTTTATGTTATAATATGTAAGTTATTTGTTATATGTATATCCTAAATGTATATCTTGAATGTATAAATTCATATTTATTATGTGTGTATAGGAGAAATTTGATTTTCCCAATTATAAAACATTGAAAGATAAACGGTTAAGTTATGCTGGGGAACGTTGGAGATGTTTCAAAACCAGCCTCAATCAATACATATTCGGATGTAGAAAGGATGATGAGCCCCCATATGTCAGGGTTTACGACTTTTTTGATAAAGATACTTGGGAGGCTTATGTTGGTTCACGTATGACGCCTGAATTTTTGGTAAGTTATTTTCTTAATTAGTAATTTAGCTAATATGATCTGTTAGTTTTTTATATGATAGTTAAATTTAATATTATTTCAATCATACATTTATGCAGGCAAAAAGAAAAAAAGGACTAGAAACACAAAAAAAAAAACAAGACTACTCATCTATTGTCTCAAGCGGGTTACAGGGGATTAAAAAGAAAGATGATGGCGGAGAAACGCAGGTCCATGAAGGAGGCCTCATTACTAAATTAGAAACTTTGTGTATCTATAGTGCAGGTTTTAACATGTGAGTGTTTAACTAATTTTATCATTTTATATTGATTGTTGTGTGAATTATACGTCACTAAATATTCTTTTTGATTTCATAGGTACTTGTACAAAATGACTCTGGAAGAGAAGGTAAGTTTGGTTTGATGTGTCCTCTTTTAATCCAAAACACTGGGAACAGTAAGGGACAACAGCGGCATACATTCAAGAGAGACTTACAAAAGGAGATGTGGAATGTTTTCTTGCACCGTATATTAGCGGGTAAGAAATAGATTTTTCATATTATTTAACATACATGATTGCGTATAAGAAAGAAATAATAAAATTGCATATCTTATTTTTTGGAATGTCAGGAATCATTGGCAACCAATTGTTATTAACCCGAAAAAGAGTACGGTAGCTTGGTTCTGTTCCTTATCGATAAAGCATAAGATGGAGTTGATGGACAAAATCAACACGTACGTTTGAAATTAGTATTCAACATTTTCTTTCCACATAATTTACATTTGATATTTTCTTTTCACTTAATTTTAAAATAATCGTGTCAGGGCACTTAGAGCATGCAAAGTCATACAGAGACTCCATGCTCAGAAACTGAAGAAGCGGACATGGGTTTATCCAAAGGTACATGAATTTCTCAAATAAAGTCAATATAACTCCTCTGTGTTTGTGTTTGTGTATGATGTACTAGTGCATTATCTCTTGGTTTCATTTGGTAATTATGAAACTATTTTTTTATTTTTATTTTATTTAAGTGTCACCGTAAAAAAGGAGGTGAAGCATGCGGGTATTATGTTATGAGATATATGCTGGAAATCATAAAACTTTGAAAAGGTATTTGGATAATAATAATAACTCATTAGATATCGAGATTATATTATCTTATATATAGTAAGTATTAAATATGTTCTTTTAGTCTTGATTTATTATTATTTATGGTTTTTCAGTTAGGTGTTTGATTTGGAAAAAGAATACTTGGAAGAAGAAATTGTTGATATACAGAGACGGTGGACCGAGTATTTTCTATATATCACCTCATTGGCAAAGTAGTAGACTATATAGGCTTTTGTTTGGAATATTTGGTTTATGTTGAACTATTTGAGTTTGCTAGTATTGTTTGCTTTTGAGAAATGTTAAACTCCGTTTGTATTATTGATAATGAATTAATTTTAGTACATTTATTTTATTTTTATATATTTAGTTGTATTGATGGTACATTTGGTTCCAATTAAACAGGTGAAAAAAAAAATTATTTATCTACTTTTTACATCGGGTAATAAAGTATGATATAAAAAAATTTATATCGGTTAAAAATACTACATATAGAATCTTACATCTTTTATATCGGTTAAAAATAACACGTAGAATGTATTTTCTATATCGGGCTCGAAGTGAATCCATATAAAAAGATATGTTTTTATATGGGTTGATTCATTCACCCGATATAGAAAACATATTTTTTATATCGGGTATTCTAAAATTCGGCTTTCCAGATGTATCTTCTAGATGGGGTGATTCATGCAACTGATATAAAAAGTTTACTTTCTATATGGTTTATTGCCCGATATAAAAAGGTGACACTTATTATATGGTCTGAAACTATATCGAAGTTGAAACTGATATAGAAAGTCAATTTCACCCAATATAAAAAGCGTTTTTTCCACTAGATATCCAAAAATCAGAGCAACACAATATCACGAAATAGATGAAAATATAGACACGAATCGGATCACGAAACTGTCAAAATATAAAAAATCAGATGAATTAAAAACGTCACGAAAATCTAAACCGACCACACCAATACGTAGCCGACGATGAGAGGAGTCCGTGGCTAAAAGACGGCGGCGATTGGTGTTCGGGGTGAGCCACACGCGCCGGCCAAAGGAAGCTGCGCTGAAACAGAGACGAGGCACGTGTGAGCTACACGCGCCGTCGATCCGGCTGAAACGTCCGGCGAGGGGTCGCCTTGGGACGCGGAGATGGTGGTATGGGACGTGAGAGTCGGAGGTCTCCGTAGACGAGCGACGAAAGACCAACCTGTATGGGACCCTAAACCTAGTCCGATACCATGTGAGAATGTGGGAAAAATATCTGATGTATTATTCACAAAGATGAGTACACATATATATAGATACATAGATGGGCCTTAGCCTAAGTTGGGCCTAAACCTAGCCTATAGTACAAGAATACATTTTACATAACTAACACCCACTAGTAGAAATACATCAATTCCATAAACCAAGGTGAAGGTTGATTGGCCGATCGAGCTCCTAGGAGTTGTTTTGTCGGGCCATAGGACTGATGTCAGCTCATCAACCTATGTCTTCGATGCTGGTTGTCATAGCTTTTCGAGCCCCTAAAAAAATGTCCTATTAGTGACCTCTACCTGACTGTTGGCCTGCGGGTGTGCAATTGATGCAAAGCGTTGCTCTATCCCCATGTCCACACACTAAGCTCGCATCCTAGTCACTTGAAATTGCGTCCCGTTACCAAAAATAAGAACTTTCAGAATCCCAAATCTGTAGCAAATGTTGTTAAATAAGAATTGTATCATTTTCTCCTCAGTTATGCAAACTATAGAGGTTCTGACTCCACCCACTTGCTGAAATAATCTACCGCGACAACTAGAAACTTCCCATGACGAGACCCCATTGACAGAGGGCCTTCTAGGTCTATTGCCCATTGTGCAAAGGGGATTTGAGTGCACTTTGAAATTTGAGTTTACTGTATGTTTAAACCTTACTCTCATATATTGCACTTAGTTAATATGCAAGCATTTGAAGAGATGACATTGTACTAGTACAAGAGAAAGTACTTTCTCTTGTGTATTCTTATTTATATGCTAGAATCTTATGTTGTGGACATTATTATTATTACTTAGCTAAGAAAATGTAAAATCTCCAATTAGGTGTTGTGTTGTGAACATTTTTATGTACCTTTGAGTCTGCTACTGGTACAGAACATGGCTCATAACCTGAAACTATTTTTCAAGATCATTATGGATGCGGGAAGGCCTGGTATCACATTCTAATTATCTTTTTTCATTGTATCTCAATACATAAATATTATACATGCTCTGAAAAAATACTTCAATATCACGTTGCATAGCCGCTTCTGCATGCTATCCACAATCAGTATTGCCACCAACTACCGCTAAATTGCAGCCTTGCAACTAGAGAGGGGCGTACCTATCAAGTAACAATAAGGTGGCTAGATAATCACCTACACTTTGTTGATGATTGGTAGACTTATGTTCAGTCAGAGGACGTTAATGATGGATACATTCTTTTCTTCGAATGAAACAGTCTAACCAAGATGGAGGTAATTAATTGTTATACCAGAGACTGTTGTTGAAAGGGAACCACAATTTGCATTAGACATAAAGTCAACAAACGTTGAGCGAGCACGCTTGGTAGCACTTATGCAATATTGTATGACCGCATTCACAATTTATTGCAATATATATATATATATATATATATATATATATATATATATTGTTTCGCATGTTATTGTATAACTGCATTCACAATTTATTTCAATATTGCTTTTGTAGCCAATTCAATGCATTTATGGAAGTCAGACATCGAGAACTAAAAGAACAATACCGCTAAAGCAATCCCGTGGATTAAAGGTGTTGCTTATGAAGTTGAGATAATTTAGGGGCATGGAAAAAGATTGATGCAAAATGGTGCTGCTAGGGAATTTCTTGAAGACAATGGCATTCATGAAGGGTTTAGATGCATGTTCAGACTTCTTCTAAATGGTGATGTTATTGCTTTCCAGGTTACGATGGAGATGTTGAGACTTTGATGTTGTCCTATTGGAAACATTTTCAGATGTTGCATGACTTTGGAATGGTTACGGTGCATTTACATGTGCCTTGAACAATTTGATTTTATATATTTTGACAAAAATTATGATTTAATGTTTGGTTTAATGAGGTGTGGCGAATATTTTTATTTTCACTTTTCTGGAAGATTTATGTTGAAAGCCGAGTTCTCTTGATAACACAAGAGAAGGTAAATTTTCACTTTCCCTATGAACTTCTAAGTTCTAACATGTTCTAAAACGGTCAGCTGCTAGTCAAAGACAGTTGACTAACAATTGTACCAAAAGTGATGGACGAGCCATAAATAGGATA